GAGGCCGGAAGAGCCAGGACTGTGCTCTGAGCAGCTCCGCCAGTCCCACAGAGCTCAGCCCAGCAGCAGGAGGCAGAGGACAACCCTGACTCTCCCTGCCTCCTGCCACTGGGATGAGCTCCATGGAGCTGGCGGAGCAGGTCGGAGCATAGCCCTGGCTCTCCAGGCCTCCTGTCACTGGGCTGCGCTCCAACCAGCTCCGCCAGCCCCATGGAGCTCAGGCAGGAGGTGGGATGAGCCAGGGTTGCACTCTGCCTCCTCCTGCCATGTTGAGCTCCGTGGGGCTGGCAGAGTTGGAGCAGAGCCCAAAATCAAAACTATTTCACCTCAGTCTTCACAGGCAAGGTCAGCTCCCAGACTACTGCGTCAGGCAGTACAGTTTGGGCAAGAGGTGTGCAACCCTTAGTGGTAAAAGAACAGGTTAGGGATTACTTAGAAAACCTGGACATGTATAAGTCCATTGGGTCATGTGGTAAACACCCAAGGTTGCTGAGGGAGTTGGCTGATGTGATTGCAGAGCTGTGGACATCATCTTTGAAAACTCATGGTGACCAGGTGAGGTCCTGGATGATTGGAAAAGGGCAAACATAGTGCCCATATTTAAGAAAGAGAAGAAGGAGGATCCAGGGAACTACAGACGAGTCAGCCTCACCTCAGTCCTCAAAAAATCATGGAGAAGATCCTCAAGGAATCCATTTTGAAGCACTTGGAGAAAAAAAGTGTGATTAGGAACAGTCAGCATGGATTCACCAAGAGCAAGTCATGTCCGACCAACCTGATTGCCTTCTATGATGAGGTGATTGGCTCTGCAGATGTGGGGAGACTGGTGGATGTGGTTTACCTTGATTTTAGCAAGTCTTTTGATAAGGTCTTCCACAACATTCTTGCAGGCAAGCTAAGGAAGTATGGGCTGGATGAATGGACCATAAAGTGGATAGAAAACTGACTGGAGCATCAGGCTCAGAGAGTAGTAATCAATGGTTCAATGTTTAGTTGGCAGCTGGTATCAAGTGGAGTGCCCCCGGGGTCGGTCCTGGGGTCAGTTTTGTTCAGTGTCTTCATCAAAGACCTGGAAGATGGCATAGAGTGCACCCTCAGTAAGTTTGCAGATGACACCAAGGTGGGGGGAATAGTAGATACACTGGGGAGTAGGACTAGGATTCAGAGTGACTTAGACAAATGGGAGGATTGAGCCAAAAAAAATCTTGTGAGTTTCAACAAGGACAAGTGCAAAGTCTTGCACTTAGGATGGAACAATCCCATGCACTGGTACAAGCTGGGGGCTGACTGGCTGGGCAGCAGCTCTGAAGAAAAGGACCTGGGGTTTACAGTGAACAACAAGCTGAATATGAGCCAGCAGTGTGTCCTTGTTGCCTAAAAGGCTAACAGCATCCTGGGCTGCATTGGTAGGAGTGTTGTCAGCAGGTCAAGGGAAGTGATTCTTCCCCACTGTTCTGCACTGGTGAGGCCACATCTGGAGTACTGTGTCCAGTTTTAGGCCCCCCACTACAGAAAGGATGTGGACAAATTGGAGAGAGTCCAATGACCTGGGGGACGTGACTTATGAGGAAAGACTGAGAGAACTGGGCTTATTTTTTATATTATTGGCACACGGGCCATGTCCCAGAGGACTGGAAAAGGGCCAATGTGGTCCCCATTTTCAAGAAGGGGAGGAAGAAGGACCCGGGCAACTATAGGCCAGTCAGTCTCACCTCTATCCTTGGCAAAGTCTTTGAAAAAATTATCAAGGCTCACATTTGCGAGAACCCGGCAGGACAAATTATGCTGAGGGGAAACCACCATGGGTTTGTGGCAGACAGATCGTGCCTGACCAATCTAGTCTCTTTTTATGACCAGGTTACGAAACGCCTGGACACAGGTGGAGGGGTGGATGTTGTATACTTAGAGTTCAGGAAGGCCTTCGATACGGTATCCCACCCCATACTGGTGAACAAGTTAAGAGGCTGTGACTTGGATGACTACACAGTCCGATGGGTGGCGAATTGGCTAGAGGGTCGCACCCAGAGAGTCGTGGTGGATGGATCAGTTTCGACCTGGAAGGGTGTGGGCAGTGGGGTCCCGCAGGGCTCGGTCCTTGGACCGATACTCTTTAATGTCTTCATCAGTGACTTGGACGAGGGAGTGAAATGTACTCTGTCCAAGTTTGCAGATGACACAAAGCTATGGGGAGAAGTGGACACGC